AAAGAAGCTAAAAGCGAGATATTTTGAAAACCTTTTTACTACAATGAATAATTTTGATTACATTACATGCATTGTATTTAGAGCATTCAGTACATGCATCCATGAGCAATTATAATAAGGACATAAACTTTCCATTTCCTAATGAAAAATAAAGATTTTGATATTTGGATGAAGATAATAATCAAATAAAAGATTTCAAAAGAGAGAAATTTACTTGTTCAAAGATGAAAACTCGATTTCGAGAATATATGAGATTTTTAAAGTTGTTGAACCTCTACTTAAATGAGCTTTTTCAAGATGATGAATTTTAAAGTTGTTGAGTCTCTACTTAGAGGAGTTTTTCTAAGATAAGATTTTTAAAGTTGTTGAGCCTCTACTTAAATGAGCTTTTTCAATATGAATTTTTAAAGTTGTTAAGCCTCTGCTTAAATGAGCTTTTCTAGGATGATGAATTTTAAAGTTGTTGAGTTTTTGCTTAGAGGAGCCTTTTTAAAATTTTCAAAAGTTGTTGAGCCTCTGCTCAAAAGAGCCTCTTTAAATTTTTAAAAGTTGTTGAGTTTCTGCTTAAAGGAGCCTCTTTAAATTTTTAAAAGTTGTTGAGCCTCTGCTCAGAAGAGCTTTTTAAATTTTCAAAAATGTTATTGAACTTTTGTTTAGAAGAGCCATAAAAAAAAATTTTTGTGCTCAATGTTTCTTCTTTCCGAACAAAATGGTTGTTTGTTTGTCTTTACTTTAATCTTGATTCTCATAAATAAGCAAAGAGGGACAACTATAAACACCATTTTGTATTATTATTATTATTATTATTATTATTATTATTATATTGTTTCATTTTTTTCTTTTTTTTTCTTTTCTTTTCTGGTTCAGTTTGACGATAATATGAGTGCATTAAATACACTATCCCTAAAAGTCCAAGCCAATGCCACCAGCGACAGCCGCTTGACACCCTACCTCATTTGGCAGCGTGAATTTCAGCTTAAAAATTTGGAATTAGAATCTCAGAAAATCTGGGATTTGAATATAAAAAATCTCTATAAATAGAGCTCGTTCCCTGCAAGATAAAAAAAGAGAAGCCATCGATTGAAAAACTAAATTAAAAAAATAGGGTTCTACCAGATTCAAAAAAAAAAAATTTCAAATAGAAACCCAAAATCAAGCAAACACAGAAACTCAGCCTCTGAAAACGAGGACCACAACGCCAAACAAAAAAAAATAACACAGACACAAAAAAAAATAACATAGACACAAAAAAAAAATTGATCGAACCTTCTAGGCTAGATCTGCACAGTTTGGAGCCCCTTTTCACAAAACCAGGCTCAAATCTAGACTTTAGAGATTGAGAGGAATATTTTGGTATTTTTTGGATTTTTTTACTAACGACAGCAATCGGCGACCAATGGTTGTGACGGCGACGGGTGTAAGACATCGATCAATTGACCACCTAGTGTTTTGACTGAGAGAGAAGAAGAGAGATTTTTTTCTGGGAGAGGGAACAAATGATCGAAAAAAAAATTTGGGCCTTTTATAAAAACTACAAAAGCCAAAACGACGTTGTTTTAATGAAGATCAAAACGATATCGTTTTAGCCACTAAGAATCCGCACATCAACCCGTGATCCGATACAGGGTCGCGCACTCGACCCGACAACCCGTCCATCCCTCAGTCTGTGATCGGTCCAGCTAAACTAACCTAGATCGACCAAATCGTCCCCGAACCACTGATGCCGAACCAACCTAACAAGACTGAACCGCTAGACCAGACCGCGCGTTGACCAGATCATTGATTGGTTCGGTTTAAGTAAAAAAAAAAATTTTAAATTTTTTTTGAAGTTTTTTAAATATTATTTTTGTGATTTTAAATTTCATTATTAATATTTATGCATGTAAAAATGTTTAAATTTACCAAAATAAATTTTATTGTTTTATAGTAATAATAATTAACAGAAATAAATAATAAAATATATAATAAAATTTTTTTATAATTTTGTTATTTTAAAAATAAATCTTATGCAATAATAAAAAAGTCAGAAAAGAAAAATTTTATCCGACGATGAGATTCAAAAGTACTCTAAGTAGTGATGCTTACGAAATCTCTAAGTGAAAATTTTTTTAAATACTACCAGTGTATTAGGGTATTTATAAAAAATTTTCAATACAATAAATTTTTCCTTTTTGTTAATAAAAAAATAAAATTTATTTATTTATTAAAAAATAAGTAAAAAAAATGAGAAAAAAAATTTTATCCAACGAAGGAATTCTAAAAGTATTTCGAGTAAAGATGCTTCAAGAAATCCCTAGGTGAGGATTTTTTTAAAATATTATCAATGTATTGAAATATTTATAAAAAATCTTCAACATAATAAAAATTCCTATTTTCTTCAATAAAACAATAATTCAATTAATAAAAAAATCAATTAAATTTTTAAAAAATAAAATAAAATACATACATCAACATATCAGCATTTTGCATTGCATGCACGATAAAGTTTTTGCAAAAAGTAAATTCGAGCCTCTAAGGATGAGATTCTAAGGTATTCCGAGAAGCGATACTTAAAAAATTTTTATGTTAGAAAAGATTCTCCTAATTCTACCAACGTACTGAAACATTTTAAGAATTATTTCGATAAAAAGGGTTCTAATTTATTTTTCTCGAATAAAATTTAAGCATTAAAAAATAAATAAATTAAATTAAATTAAAAAAATCAATTTCCAATAAATGAAAAATCAATAAAATTATTTTTCAAACATCGAAAATAAAACTGTTTTTATTAAAATCAATGGATAACACATAGTTAATTAGTACTGTTTTAAACGGGCATTGTGAGGGTGCTAATCATTCCCCACACGTAACTAACTTTTGAACCCAGGCTGTTTCGCAAACCCTAAAATTATCTTTTTAATAAATTTTAAATAATTTTAAGATTTTATTAAAATGATATGTTTTAATAGATGACGATTCGCACATAACAAAAAAATATTGGTGACGATTCTGTTATCTTTTATTTTTATTTTTAAATTCGTCGGATAAATACAAAACTGTTACTATAATTATAATCTTCACATTTATTACTAACATGATAAAAAAATCTGATGGATCACGTGAGAATAAAACATGTATGATGAATGAATAAATTGATTAAATCAAATAAAAATTAATTAAAAGAAATTGAAATATCCAAAGACTTAATTTAAATAAATTAAAAGTCTGCGATCAAAGGCACTAATCTTACCAAGACTAGAATTGGGACTACACACGTCTCTGTTTAAAGATCCTATGGTCGCCCTCTATAGACACAATTCAACCTATTCCCTAGTAGAATCCCCTAGAGAAAAATAGAAAGGAGCTGTCACGCAACATTATTAGCATAGTGTTTCACTCAATGGCTCTTCTCATCCTTAAGAAGGCTCTTTTCCTTTTTGTTTTTCTTTTTTTTGGGTACGAACTTTCGTTACAGGTTAGACACTAATACAATTAAAGATTTGCGATAACATATTTTCACGATTTGGAGGGATTGGTGTTTGGTATAAAGGAAAGTTTTGTAAGCAAAAATTTACTTTTATTTGAAATCATGCTTTGTAATTGAAAATTTTTAAAATTCTGTTTTGTATATATGTCTCAATCATATTTAATTCCCAACAAAATAGTTGGATAAAAAATAATTTTACTTACATTTTAACCCAAAATAAAAAGAAAAAAAAAACCACTACTGTGGAGAAGTAAAAAGGAAATTGCAGGGGTGGATAGACAACTGTTAAAAAAAAAAAAAAGAAAAAACGTACTTTCACTCCTTCCGATCTTTGTTATACAAAAATTAAGAAGATAAAAAGAGATTAACATTTCCACAATTCACCGTTACAAAATGCAATTCTTTTTGTAGATTGACAATAGGAAAAAAATAGAAATATTTATTCAAGTGAAAATTAACTATTAATATCAAAATGTTTTACTCAATTACAAGTACACTAGTATTTCGTTCCCATCAAATTTCCTCTTTTTCTCAAATAAAAATATATTTGAAAGTCAATTTTATAGATTTGTTAGTATTAGTTATATAGAATTTTATGCTTGTTACTATTAATAATGATTTTAACGAACAGACCAAAATTAAAATTTTCAATTTTATGAATTTTACTATTTGAAGATGTTTCAAAATAATGTACATTTTCTTAAAATGAAATACTTTTTTCAATATTGCCCTTCTTTAAAATAGTAAAAGCTAGAATAATTCATTCTTCTAAGTTTGTATCATTTAAAAAATGAATATTCAATTTAAACAAAAAAGAGTTATTTATTTGTATTTTAGTTTAACTTGTTTTCTTGTTCACATATTTAAGATTAAAGAAAGGATCCAAAATGCAATGAAAACCTCCACTTTAGGATAATTCAAATACTTACAAAAGAATTTATGATCAAATATTTGTCCCCATCAATTTTTTTTTTTTAATTATTTTCTCACCCATTTTCTTACACCAATTTAATAAAATTATTTCAACCGCGAAATTAATTTACAATGTACATGTTATATCTTAAGATGAACATCTCCATTATCAGCAGTCTCCCACATTGCTTACAATAAATTTAGCATTCAAAAGAACCAAATCTTTGAATTCGCGACGTCCAACATCCATGGCTAAATTTGACATCTGATCACTGTTGTATCCATATTTATTTATTTTATCTCAAACACATATAAAATATAAAAAACATTAATATATCATCAATCATATCAATACATCAAACACAAATATATTTTTTTTCAATTTTACTAAATTCATATAAGATATTTGTTAAAATCTTAAATCATATAACTTAGCATTTTTTTATGGAGCACGTATAATTTTTAAAATTACCAAGTTTTATATGTTACAGTTGTAAGCCTGAACGCTTTTAAATTAAAAATTAGCCATCACTGCATTTATTTCTAGGAATTATCTTTGTAAATTTGAAGCAGGCCATGGTAAAATCGTAATGTTATTATAATCGCTATGTTAGTGTAAACGGTGTGAAAAAGATAATTAGGGGGATTATTGACCATTACCAAGCTATAATCAAATTTCAATTAAGCAATCATCGCAAAGCTTTGATTACTTATTAATCAAATGCGATCATGATAAATCACATCCAATGCTTGAATTCAACTGATTAATGATGAATGTTCACACAATAAATTTATAAATAAAACAGAAACAAGAATGCAGTTCTGAAATCTGAAGCGAACATTGTGACTCCAACATAAACAAGAATTAAGTAGGTGAGTACCAGTGCTGATGTACCTGTTCGTTCAATAAGATGGGTGTAACAAGCAAAAATAAATAAACAAATAACAAGAACCTATACTGAAAATAAAGGCCGTAAAGAGCAAATAAACCCAGAATATTTAATCTCAAAGTAACCCAAGGACAGGATAAGTGAAAGATGGAACAAACTTACATCAGCCGTAATGGAACAGTCGCTACAAAAAGTTCTCGATGTCAAGTTCCAAGAAAGTGCACGGATCCGGAATATCAAAATTATTCAACACCTGAATGCCATATCAAAAATATGAAATATATTAACTATTACTCACCAAATTTTCAAAATTTTGATCCTGATGCAGCTAGAGAGTATGCATTCTAATATGTAAGTAGTTAAAAGGGAAGAGAGCAACACAGAGCAGCATCATCAACTAATGCAACATGCTAAAGCAAGAACTTCAAATTTGAGATTTTCAAAAGAAAGAAAATGAGAGGAAAAAAAGTTCTATAAAGTTCCTGATAAATATCATGAGAGCTGAGTATTCACAAATAAATGGCAAAACATTGACCAAATACACCAAAGAGAAGCATCGGTCTCATCAGTTTGATTTCTATCTTGTCTACTTAAAGTTTTTCTTTTAGTCCTGGGAAACAAGATTGTTGTCCTCCTCTTCCCTTAAACTCTCAATCCCTTGTCATTGCAAACATTACACCCCAAGTCTTTGCTACAATCAACAAAAATTACCACCTAACCTCTGGAATGGAACACATTGGGACTCTACACTTTCTTGTGTTTGACATTACACTAAAATTCAATCACCATCTAAAAACCAACATGAAACAAAGGATACTTAAGAAAATGATTAGATGAAACCTAGGCAATTTTAAATCAAAATTTAACACAAAAAAAAAAAAAGTTCTCCCCGTAGGATCCGCTTCATTGGCAGAAAGTTAAATTAATTGAAAACAATTAAGAGTAAAGAAACACCTGTGTCCAATGTAGAAAATTCAAAAAAAAAAAAAAAGGCGAGAAAACACATTTGAAACTAATACAGTAACAGATAATACAAAATTGAAAACCTTTTGACAACAGATTCCAAAACAAAATGGAACTGAGGATTTTAAATCTATCTTAGGCAGAATGGTTGTGGGATGTCCTTAGTTGATGGGTATTATGGAGAAAAAGGATTGACAAATAGACAAGAATCAAGAGAACAAACATAACCACTGACCACAACATTCTCAAATCGAGAACAATACCTCAGGGTGCACAATACCAAAAATGCCAATACGCCTCCCTTTGTATATGATTTTGGCTTGCCTGCCCGATAGAAATTCAGGTTCCTTCAGCAAATATAAACATCATAAGTACACCATGAACGACAATAGGGGGTTTAAGACCAAGTTGAAGAACATATCTTTTTCCTCATGTCCTTTCCCTCTCTCAAGCACCAAAGAAAATAGAAAACAGAGAACTAGAGACTTACATCAGAAAGCTCTATATAGTATCCTGCACTATTACCAACTGGAACAAAAGGAGTCCCCATAACTTCCATAATTTTGTCAACCAGGCTATGAATCAGCTGTGGACAAGACATCCTCATTTCATTAGATTCTATCAAAGCATAAGGAACCTAGAACACCATACTCCTAAAATTATAATCAATTCTTTCTTTCTTTGACTATCCATACAATTTGTCCATTTTCCAAATATAACAAGATAAATTGTGACACCATGTACCATGTCACCCAATGAAATTAAACTTCAAAAACTAAACACAAAATGTTTTAAGAACCAGACCAAACTGGCTGGTCAAATCAGTTTGACCACAATCCATCAACTTCTCCATGTTGGATGACCCTATCAAGTTGAACCAGAATTTTTCAAAGGATAAGAAGATTGTTAACTCTCTAGCAGCATAAAATATCAAATTTATGAAACCTCAAATATATTGGATTGGTCCCAGAAAAAAGAAAGACCTCAAATTTGATATCCAGAAATCTTAGATCTTGTAGATACTCATAGCAGAATTATAACATAGTAACATATTTCATCAAAGAAAATGGGAGAGGCAAAAAGGAAAAAATAGAAAATGTAGGGCCTCATACAGTTGGAAGGTCTATGACATCATGTATGAATCACAAGAAATATATAGGTGCGGAAGGGCTGATGACATCATGTAATAATAATTTTATTTGGCATATAAACTACTAATAATGGCGTGGGAGAGTCTAAATTAGCATAATTGACCTGTCCGGTTTGGACCAGAACCCACCTCTTTGACTGGTTTAGTTTAAGCCCAGACTTATAAACATCACAATTAACTTATTTGTTTCTTTTACCTACACCTTTTCATATTTATATTAACTTTAGAGTCTTGAGCCAACAATCCCAATATCACCCAATCCTTCATTTTCTAGCGAGGAACTCATACCATGATGGATTTGATGTTTCAAATCAGGCAGTTATTAACCACAGCAAATTATTGTTGTACAATATCTAATAATAGATAAATAAAAACTCATGTACCACTTCTATAAGAGTTTCATTTTGTATTCTGCAGGGATATTTGTTTGAATGAGAAATCAAAATATCATGCATTAATAAATCAATGACAAATTCTTCTATGTGACCACAGGAGAAATTGCACAATGCGCAAGAAAAAATTAAAAAAGAGGTCAAAACTTACTTTACAAATGAAGTAGTAATCACTAACATGGAACTTTATCCTGTTTCAATTTTAGAGTAAAAGGGAAGAGGGAAAAAGCAGGTAGTGAAGAAAAGAGATATCTCATTTTGAAACTCTTTAAGAGGTAGGTAGAGGGATTTAAGGGCATAACTTATCCCCTTCGTATCTCTCCAAACTCTCTTTGCTTCTTCTTTTTTCATTTTTTCCCCTCAAATTCCCAGAAATGGAGGAGATTGGAACTAATTTTTGTTTTCTTTTAACAAAAATTTCAATCCTACAACAGTTAATCAATTTACCTTCAACCAAAAAGCAAAGAAACAGTAATAAAAGGCTCTCACCAGATTGAACTCTCAGACTTTGATTGATCAGCATTGATAGAAATCTTATTTCAGAGCAGAGTTAAACTTCATAGTTCACTAGATGAATTCCACCCATCACCCAATAATTTAATCCTTTCTTCTTAAATAACACCAACAGTCCATTCTGATATTTTAAAGGCAGTAACTACAACTTAGAAGCCAGTTTTTACCCTTACATACTACTTAAATTTGTCCTGCCAACACCATTTCATGCATGTCTACATCCAATCTTCACGCTCCACCACCAAAATGTCCATATCTATGCCCAATATCACTACAGGCTTCATTCGTAAAGTTCATTGATCATTTTCTTTCCTTTCTGTTTTTTACGGGTGGATATGGTGCTGGTTCTCAACAAAAGACCACTCAGAAACATTCATGGGCAATATTCCATAAATTCATAATTAGAATTTATTAACTTAACAAGAATTGACAAATAAAGTTTACAAAAATACACTACAAGGAATCAACTAACTATAAAAAGGGGCATAGTGAGGAAATTTTACCTCAAAACCTGAGTTAGCACCACAATATAGTGCAGCAAGTAGGCGACGGTTAGATGCACCAACATCTTTCTTCTCATCCAAAAGTACTACATCACCCACTTCAAAAATCTAGAAATAAATCAATAAATGTGAAAGTTTCCAAAAAATGGGAAAGAAATAAAAGCAGCAAGCATTTACTCATAAAATAAGATGAATGAAGTCAAATTTGAGTAGAAAAACAGCAAAATAGTAGTAAAAGAACAGGATAGGGGGATATTTCTAAATTAATGTGTTCATTTGTGGAAACCTGTCGTGGGGAAGGGATTAGACTGGGGCAGTCCATCAAATAAGGGTTCCTCTAACAAGTAACAGAAGAATGATTACAACAAATATGTCCCCCATTGATCAACTAAACTAGGGAATGCATTATTTTTCCAACACAATAATAGTCAAAGGACTTTTAACTTCTAACAAAAGATGTGAAATGCAAAATAGTTAGAACACCTCCTATTCACAGAAGGTGCCATAGTTCAACAAAGAATAAATAACTTAAATTTCAGCACTTCACCTACCAATATAATCCTTCTATAAGATATGTTTATTCTCTCACCATGTCAAGAACAAGCACAACCACGCTTTCACCTCTTCAATGCATTAGAAACAAGTCATAAAAGCATTTAAAAGGAGATATTACACTCCTTTCAGTAATATTTATATGTTACCAACATACAATTCACACTAAATCCAACTAAATTCCAACAATAACTCAAAAATTAACAACCACATGTGTTCATCCAATCCAACACCACTGTCAAATGCAAGTAAAATTCAACTACATTCTGCAAGCTTTTCTGCGATGAACCATCTTAAAACCAGAACTGTACCTTTATGGGCTTGGGGTGGTCTTTGTTATGTCCAACAGTCTTCAGCATGCCAGGCATGAGACTTGTGCGGACAACCTATGTAAACAGAAGAAGCTATCTTCACATATTCTTTAATCAGAAAGAGTTTCAGTAAAATGGCTTCTAGGGAAAACACAGAACTAGTAATTCATTTTTTTTTTTTGTCTCATCCTTCAAAATCATGTTTATCGCTTATTCTAGAGAACAACCATGGAAGCTTGCCTTAATTGGCTGTTCAATTTTGAAGTACCAGTCATCAATTTACTACTCACAAATAAGGGCATCCATGATATTTCAGCAAGCCTTGACATAACATATTTTAAGATTGAAATAGAATCGTTAAAGCTAATAATTCTACAGCAGTCAGAAACACATCCCTACTACAGACACGATGATGAGCCACAGAAAGCTGGAATGTGAAAATAATCATATAGATAGATTCTGACATGAAAATACAAACCTCAAAATCAGAGGAACGGGGGTTTCCAATGACCACTGCAGTGGTTTTATCATCCTTTCGATTTAACATCTCAAAATTCTCTTTTTTAGAACATAAAATCCATGTCAACACCTCTGCAAAACCATTCATAGCAATCTAAAAGGAAATTCAATCAGGATTATCAAACAAAATGAACATGGCAAAGAAAAAATCTACAGATAAAAAGAACTGGTCGTAAGAAGCAGAAGAGGAATTATTAAGCATAGGCAAGGGTATATTTAGGCACCTCATATCTGATAAGATCACTGAGCTGGTTTAATGGAAGAGGCTTCAAAGAAGAAAGCTTTCTCTTTGGAATATTATTATAGCCATAAGCAATTGCAACATCCTGAAAAAGAATAGAATCTTGTCAACAGAAATCCACGAGGTGTGAGCCCAACAACCTTTCCCTATAGGATATGTCAGCTAAATACTATTCATTACCTCCATAACATCACATGGGTGAAGAATATCACTTCTGGTTGGAGGTACAGACACATTGATATTGTTGCCACCCAATCCAGCTTGTTCAGCATGCACTTGCATTCGATTCAATAGACTAGTGACCTGTTTAGTGAAGACAATGGAAAACATATTAGAAATAGATAATAAGTTATGAGGTTAAAATCGTCTACTTAACAATGACACCAATAGATAGTCACCAATGGTGCCATCAAAACAAAGCAGACATACATGATTAATGAAGACAATGACCATGACCAAATCAGACTAATTTAACCACATCTCAATGTGACCTACCACCCCCATTTAATGCGCTCACAAACACACGCAGAAGTGAAGCATTATGAAGTACTACTTTACATGCGTCGCACAAATGAATAAATATTTAAATAGTTTTACTTTTAAATTCAATCCACTAGAAGTTATACCAGAGTGGAGAGAGTAGTAGAAAACTCGGTTTCTTAACAAACAACCTCTTAAAAGAGTAAGGAAAAAAAAAAAAAAGAGAGCCAAATACAAATTTAATTAAAACTTAAACTTACTTTAAATATATATAAAAAAAAAAAGAAAAAAGAATCCCCAAGTTGGTGTCACACCACCTAACCAGTTGTTTTATATAATAATAACTAGAAATTCGTGACAAACACTACATATGTCGTATATAACTGAAAAAATAAAAGGAATTTTCTAATAATATAAAATTTTAGTTGTAAAATGCTTGCAATCAGAAAAAAAAAAAATGGGAGATAACAATTGTCAGAGAAACACGGACAAAACAGGCGGTGTAAAAAGGTTTGTTAATCAAGTTGGAAACACTCCAATGCATTTTAAATATTTTAAAAATAATACTGAGTTGATTGGACATTGACTCAGCCAGTTTTTATATGTTAGTTTCTCCTAATTATGGAAATGCATTTGCAAGCTGACTTCATTGAAATCGGGTCAAGTAATAGCAGACAATGTTAGTCATCTTATCCTGAACGAAGTGTGTGTGAGTAGGGGGATTGCAATCATGAGTACATGCACAGACTAAAGAACTGAGACCATAATTTCTAATATAAAGCCAGTATTGGCCCCTTAATTTTTTGAAAGCATTTTAACAATAGTAAAACTATTATACAGTACAATATCACACTCTAATCCATTAAAGGAATCCAAAAGTAGCCTCAAAGATACATCATTCCCTCACCATCTTTAACACATTATAACATTATACAAAGTAACAATCATTACTACAAGTACTTCATACATGATATATTTAGTCATAGCCAGCACCAACAGATTTAATAAGCTAAAGACAAAGTTAGCTTTCTAGATGATAGAGCAGACTGCCAAAAGCCTCCAAAGAAGTTCAGGGGGCATCTTAAGGCAGGTTCTGATCCTTAATTCACCTGTTCAATGATGAGAAGTTTATTTGGGAGCTCGAGTAAGCTTTATTAGTTACTTTTGGGTCTTAGATTTACATTTCTTTAAATTAAAGCAGTCTGTTCTTATATTATTTTTCTATTCTTGAGTTTTAAGAATTAATGTTATCTTTTCAAAAAAGAAAAGGTGTCAATATTATTTTTCCATAAAAAAAAAAAAAAGTCTGTTATTTTCTTAATATTTGGGTTTGCTAGAAATTTCAGATTTTGAGGTTTAGTATTTGCTTAAGTCCCAGTTGAAATTGGAGTTCTATTTCTTTTAGTATAAGGGATACTAGGAGTCCATATAAATCAAAGTAGTGAGTTATAGTTTAATGTCACAGAATTTCCAACAATATTGCTATGTGATTGTCTATCAACTTTAAGTCTTACTCCTAAAGACCCTGGGTGTGAAGCCTAGGGATTTCCTCTCTTCATCTATTTTCTCTATTCATTTTTCCCTGTTTTCCTCAAGAGTTCAGGAAACTGCCACAAACCCTATCAACCTAGCTATACTTTTAAGAAGATCAAAACAAAAATAATAACACCATCATGAGTAAATTCAATTACTTTCACAATATGATGTCATAGAAAATAACAATGAAATACGTGGGAAAATGAAAATGGAAGCAATACCTCATCTACCTCCAGTGGAACTCCAATGGAACCAGTAATATATGATAGAGGAACTTCCATATTATATTCTGATAAATCAGGATAAACACTTGAGTTTCCATCAAATGATATCACTTCAACCGGTTCCACCTCAAATTTCCTTTCACAATATGCTGAAAATGTTGTTACCTGCAGAAAGAAAGAAAGTCATTTACCACTACCTACATACAGGTGGAAACAGAACCTACCAGCACTCAACTCCTTACCATTGTATTTAAAACAATCTTGGCCTTTGTTAAATCAGTTGCTGTGCATTCAATGAAGACATTTTTAGTCTTTAAAGTGATTGCTGAGTGTGCTCCATTAATAATTGGTGGTAAAGACAAAACAGTTCTGCGTAAAAAAGAAAACCAGAAGTTCATCCAGCTGTAAGAAATATTTGGTATCTTTAAGCATTAACAAGATTTATACAGTATAAACAATCACTGGAAAAGAAGTAAATGATGGTAGAAGGTTAAATAGCCTTAATTTAATGTTAAATTGATTGCCGTAAAAAAAAGCTAAGAATCCTAAGTCATATAGGCATTACCAAAAAACCATACCTGTTGCGGTCATAAATAACAGGGAACACTTTTGACTTCTCAATTATATGCAAGAACTTCTTCAACTTCAAATCTGACTGTTTGATGTTTCATAGTAGACCATATTTTAGTATAACCCTTCAGAATAAAAGTTGCCAATCATATCTAAAACTAGGAAAAACACGTGCAAAGGGTACAGACAGAAATGCGAAGATAATTATTGCTTAATAAAGGAACTTCACAGTTAAGAAGAACAAATAAGCTTATATGAAAGATTTACCTTGTAAAATTCCATCAACTCATCAGCTCTGAAGTGCTTCACCTAAATTAAAAAAATCAGTTTTAGCCCAGAAGACTAAGGAAAGTTGTTTAAGTGAATAGAAGCATGCAGATGACTGAGAAGAAGAGATATAACAGAGTTGATGATCAACAAAGAATACTAAAGACGTAAAGACTAATTGCAATCCCTGAAACTAAGGTAGTTCAACAGAAAAGGCACCTCTAAGAAGCTATGCTCCTAGAACATCGAAGCATTATGTCACAAAGAGGTGAACACCAGAAAAAGCAAGGCAACAATTTCCAAAAAGAGTTCCTAAATTCAAACTATACCTGAAAATCTAAAAGGGATCATTAGCTGTTGCAATGATCAAAGTCTAATCCTAATAAGTAACAAGCACAAGCACAATTACAAAGGCTCAAGTCTTGAGGTGGTTACTTGATGTAACAAATAAAATATGAAGGAACAAGGCAACTTCCCTACCAGGATCCCAAGTCGTAAGAGCATAACTTGGCAATGATCCTTCTACTAAGAAATTAAGAAAAAGAATAAAGTATGTTTTAACATAGTTTAAGATTCAACAATAAGTTTTCATAGAAGAAAAAGAATGACTCAATAATTGAAATAATTACTATTCAACTTGTAATATTTTATTAGGACTGCCCTAAAAGAGTAACATGCAATTAAAAACAAGCAATCAGAAAATGCTATTAGCATTTAAAACAGAAAATGTATCATTATGTTTTCTTCTAAATTCCATTAATTCCATTGGTTAAAATAAAATTAAATGATTATAGAGATTATCATCAACTTATATAAAGCTAGAGCTGACAAAGCTGACGTGAACCCTAAGACCTGCCCCACACCTAACAAACCCAATTTAACCAAACAAAAACCCGACTTGCTCAATCCAAACTTGAATTGACTAAAAACCAAGTCAACCCAACGCATTTCAAACCAACCCATACTAAACCCAAAAGGACAACTTAAATTGACTATAATTTTATTTTTCTATTTTAAATATTAATTTAATTAAAATCATAAATAAAACAGAAAACTGTTAATCTATCAATAACTTCAAAAGACAATAAAATTATAAAATCTCTTTTATTTAGAGTTGTCTTTCTATCTTCTATATAACTTTTGTTTATTACATGATCCGCTTGATTTCGGGAGTTATGATTGGCATTGTAAGCTGTCATTATTATTCATGGTAAATATAGTTATATGAATGGTAAACTAGATGCTATTGATCAGTGCAATGAAGATGAATATTAACTATCAATCAATCAAAAAGCACTAAAGACTTCTTTTGGCGGGGAAAATATGTTAATATCTGATATAAACTAATTCTAAATTAACAAATGACTTTTAATTTGCTTTTATTTGTCTTTTTATTATCAAATCTAACGTTTTCTTTTATATATATATATATATATATATATATATATATATATGCACACACACACATATATACATATCTTTATCATATCAATATTGGAGGTGTGATACAACCACAAGTTAGCAAAATGAGACTTAAAGGCATTTAGGTTCATAAAATTTGACACAATCCAAATGACCCACCTGAACCCAACCCAATTTTGACTTTAAAAGTCATCAACTTTAACCCCAAATGATCCAAATCTAAAATAAATCCAAAGTGACTCGAAACTGAGATGATCTGAACCTAATGTAACTTGAATTTTCATTGACCTGAAGTGACTCAAATAGTCAGAACCAACATGCCCAAATCCACTTTAAAAATGCACCAATAAAAACAAAAGATACAAACAAGTAAATTAGAGGGGACAGAGAAAGAATATGGCTCCTATTCAATTCAAATAACATTTACATAGGAAAACCAGGCGTTGGTTGCAAACAAGGCAAGTTGTCAATAGTGAATTCTATTGTCTCAAACAAAAGATGGAATACAAATTTTCTGCATAAGCAAGAAACCAAATGAAAAAATATAACCTTTTTCAAGTATATAAATAGAAGCAAGATCAACTTGTGCATTCACGACTAAATTTCCAATTGAAGAAAGTAGAAGGTTTAAAAAAGATAATAATTATTTTCTCTCTCTAATATAAGCTGTGTTCCTCATGACTAGTCGAAATGGAACACACACTTGCAAGGTAGCAATAGGTTTTTCAGTTAATATGTCTATTCTAATAATATCATTCCCAATAATGATAAATTACCTGTTTCAGCGGCACAAAATTTATCTCTGGAGGTGGCAACGCCTGAAATAAACAGACATTTAAGTTATTGCTTACAAGTTATGAATGTGATTATGAGAAATTGACAATGCAATAGGATTATGTCATAAGTAAATTACTGGATCTTAAAAGAAAAAAAAAAAGTTTTCTATGGGCTCAACAATACATAATCAGACAATATCTTATTTATTGGTACTTTAAAGGAGCAGGGAAAAGAACGGTAAAAAAGAACTAAAGAAGTTTGTGCAAGCTGTACGAATTGTAACAATTACCCTGTCAATTGACAAAAAAAATTTATTACTCACATTCAAAGCCAACTTGACAATCCACAACTTGTTTGATGCAAAATAAATAAATAATAAATAAATCACGGCCAATTCAGGAAAATAACTAAAATAAAAAGATCTCGTCTATTGCACAGGCTGCTAGTTGACCAAATCAACAATAGGCATAAGATCTCAGCCTTGGGCTGAAGCGTCCCTTTTCCCCTCAAGGATTGACCTTCAACAGAGGATCTAAAGCATCTTAGGGTATTTCATTACCAACCATTTTAACAATGCATAAAATATTTATCACAAAAGATTCTATCAATAAAATATGTATTAGACTATTAGGATGCCCACCTCATATGTAAAAGGCCCTTGTAGCGTATCCAAGTCATGAGTCCCAATAGCAACTAGGGTTCTTTTCCTAGAACAACAAAGTGAAATGTAAGCTGTACAACTTCAAAAAAATGCATGAAATCTTTGTGCAATAATAATTTGATGCTTTAGAAATTCTTCGAGCATTAACACTCAAGAAGTTAAAAAAGGAAAAACATCTGAACTCATAAATTAATGTTGTGGAAAAATAGAGATTTAGCAGTCATTTCCTCATTGTTGACATTTTAATTTTCAGCAATACAATTTGTTTTCAGAACTTATCAATTTGAATAATTGCGATAAAACAGAGATGTCATTTTCATCTTCACTGAATGCATTTAGTGTAAAGTGGTCATCAAATTTACTTTAAATTCCAGCAAACATAAGAAGCAATAATCCTACCCTCCAATAGGAAGGGGAGATCAATATTTGTGCTGAAACCATTCATAATGGATGACACTTCCAAAGACAACTGTTTTAAAAGCTGAATGCAGCCATAGCTGGACCTATAATAACTGGCCATGTAAGTTCTCATAGATTATTGCAAGAAGAAATGTTCTACATAGAGGCTTACTTAAATTTCTATAACATGAAGAAAAAACTAGATGCATCTTGCATTATTCCAAAATATGTGCACAATTATTCCACCTGTTTTCCTTTTTCTCCCCACTGTATCATCCAAACAATGTAAAATTAAAGTGTTATATCTTATAAGCCACATCACCCCCCCCCATTAAACACCTAAACAAAACCATAGCTATTCTAGGACTCAGATGAACACATGTAAATATTACCCTTTAATATCAGAGATCAAACGAAATCATTGATTTTTTTTTTTTTAACAGTTCATGCTAATTTATTTTGCAGGTTCAAAGGCAATCACAAGTAGGAAAACCAGGAAAACAAAGGCTATACGGAAAATAGTAAGCAGAGCTACTAGTTGGATAATGTTACCTGCAGATATTTTGGTGCAACTTATCCTGGAGATCAATGAAGCTGTTATATCTTGCTTCATCAAAAGCTATGCCTCTCAAAACCGCACAAACAACAAAGGGACGAATTAATGATGTCTGTGAGCCAAGCAAAATGTGTGACGCTATCCGTAACATCCAAAAAAATTGCAATACCCAAAATTGATTTTTCAACCTGCAAAGTTACCTCTTTTTTCACTTGCATTTTAAGCATTGATTCCTTACTAATGTTGGCAACCGTGTATCTAGGTATCTTCTCATGCCCATTGAAAATGCAAAGGGCTTGTGCAAGCCCTTCCAAGCAAAGCAAATCGTACCTATCCAGGAATCAAATAAAACCTTCATTGATGTTTCTTTTTTTCATTTACATGAATTATCAAGTTTCAAGACAAAAAAAAAAAAAGAAAAAAAAAGCAATTGAAACATGTTTTCAGGTCAGCCCAATCAGATTAAAGTAAACATAGGCAGCATTCAAGAAGGCTACCAAATTACCATAGGTGTAACCTATTTTGTTCTGCCGAAAAGGGATAATTTTTTTTTCCTAACAATACTAAATTGTTGAAGTCTACCAAAAGAAAATTTTGAAGTAACATCAAATTTTATTAAGATAAGCAGAGGAAACCTGTTTGCAGGGACTTCAATCTTGTAAATGACTTCATCATCAAGACTAGAATTATCGTCCTCCAAGTGCCTCTCTTTCAAAATTATTGCTTTCTCCGTTGTCTAGTTCACAATGCCAATATCCCATCAAATTTCACACATATCAATGGTTTTCCCAAAGAAAAAGTGTAAGAAAAAACTCACCACATCATCAAGTTCAATCCCAAAATTGAAACACAGTTCTTCAAATTCTTCTTGAGCTGAAAAATGTATTATTTTGGTTATATAGTTAAACATTCCAAAAGAGATTTAGTAAGTAAATAGGGGGAAAAAAAAAGAAGAGGTTTTTTAATTAAAACTCACTGTAAGATCTGCCAAGGGCAGCGAAAAGACGATCCCTCGCAACGCTGACAGTAGGCATGGTGACAATGGCGCCTATGTCTCAAGCAAACACAGCCACACAGGGTTTTAAGTATTCAATTTTAAAACATGTTGTCTCTCAAATTTGGAAAATGAGTAAAAGACAAACTGAATCCAGCCACTACCATGACTACTGTTCCAAAAGCCTGACTTTGGTAAATGCCCCTACTAAAAAAATTTTGGCTTAAATATAGTGAAAAAGAAAAAGCTACTCCCTCCCTTTCAAATTTTTAATCCCCATTGAATATTAATTTTAATATTTTTCATAAAATTAATGTTTTATGATTTTTAATGTCAAAATAAGAAATTCTACAAAATAATTTTAGAACATAGAAAAAATAAGTTTTAAGTGTTCAAAAAATATGACATTATCTAGAGCAGTGTTTTAATAACTGGATTGAGAGTCAAACCAATTGGATGCCCAGTTCTCAGTTTAACCAGTTCAATCGACAGGTCTAACTTGTTGAGAATATTGATTTTTTTTAATATTTTTATAAAATTAAAAAATCAGAAAGAAGTAGAAAAATAAAAATATATATATAATTTAAACAACTTTAAAGAAATTTAAAACACAAATTAAATATAATAAAAATTCAAGTACTTAACATAACATGGGCAGAACACAATGAGTAGGCAATAGGGTATAGGGATTTAAATGCCACTTGCGGTCACTTTCGATCATGTCACATTTATTGTGGTTGCAAACATAAAGAAATAGATAGCAACCATCATGCTCATCACGGTCGTATATTTTTTTATGTTTGAACAACTCACTAAAATTGAAGTAAATAACAATTTATCCATGAAAACTCATTTTAATGATATTTAAAATAGTTCATGACATTTTAATTCCCTTATTTATAAGATAAAATAAATTATTATCAATTTTTATATTATAGTTCATCAACCAATATGCATATTTAAAAGTTGTTCACTAACATATCTGTGAATTTGATGAACATGACTACTATAACTACATAAGATTAACAAAAGAGTATCATATGTGAAATTAAGTTTTTTTTTTTTTTTCCAAGTACACCAAATTATGAACATGACTACTATAACTACATAATATTAGCAAAAGAATATTATATGTGAAATTAAGTTTTTTGTTTTTTTTCAAGCATAACAAATTAAGCTCATAAATTTAACTTGATTAGAAAAATAATAGATGAAAGTTTTAACATCTAATATATTTATTAACAAAATACTTGATAACGTAACTTAAATCAGACACCAAAAATGTAAAAACAATTAACAATAACATTTAAAATTAATTCTTTTTTAAATGATACTAATACAAAAAATAAAAATGCATGAAAATAAATCCACTCTTTATCATCTTTAATACCCTCTCAAATCATCCAAAAAGTTTCTCAAAGTTTCCATTTCTCACTAATCATTTGTCTTTCCCTCTCAAGTTTTTCATCTTAAAAAGAAAAAATGGAAAACTAATTTTAACTTTTAAAAGAACACGTGACAGCTTCCCAAATTTCCCCCCTTCTCCTCTGTTTTCTCTCTTCTACTCTCCCAATGCCTCTCGTTGCATTTTTTCCCTCACCATCACACGACAGGGCAGACCCCACCCAATCAACCACCCTTATGCATCACCCATACTAAGATGTTTCTACTCTCAAATCTCATCTCATCTATCACAAAGAATGGAACACAACAGGTAGCAGAGAATGGTCTCATCTCTCTCAAAGAATGGAACAGAACAAGAATGCTGCACCACTGTAACCACCCACAGCTCAGAATTACCAAAACGATAAGAAAAAAATTAATTCTTTCTTTTACCTTGATTGAAGTATAAATATTTCGAGTTTAACTGTTGTGTTTAGGTGGTTTTGTCTCTGTTTTGCTAAGAATTTGCCTAATTTTATTAAAAAAAAAAGAAAAAAACCTATAAGACAGGAAAAATATAACTCAATGGCGTATCTATTTTCCATTATGCCGCTATTTGCGGCCTGGAAACACTGCTACAAGTGTGAATCAACACTCACACCTCTATAGCAGTTGATAACGGTTTCGGAAGTGGCAGCCACTGCGAAATAGCGGCTGCTATTTGAATCCCCATGGCACAAAAACCCACGCCCCCAATTAGCCCTAACACCAAAATTCACAATTTTCAACTTCCAAGTTTGCAAATCTCAAGCTCAACTAAAGTATAAACTCTAAAGAAAACATGAAGCTCACCTACAGCACTAGTCACGGGCAGATGAATTGATGAAGACTAGAGAAGGAAAGCAAGAAAAGGCAGCACTCAGCAGGCAGAAGCAGGGATAGAAGGCAGCAATCCAGCCAGAAGCAAGGAGCGATGACAGCAACTTAACGATGAGCGGCGGCAGGGCAGCAGTTGATTTCAGTTTCGGTATTTTCTTTATTTAGCTTTGGGTTTAGTCGGCAGGCAGAAGAGGAGAAAGAATAAAAAATAAAAAATGAGTCGCCCTAAATGAAGATAATAATAGAAATTAGGCCCTTTGTTCCTTGGGTTTGGGCCGGGTAGTTAATTGTTTTGCTTTGAGCTTGATGAATTGGGTTGAAAATTTATCCCAAATCTATAATTTTTTGTTTTTCAATCAATCAAAAATTTTGGTTTTATCAAATTTTTTATTAAACCTTTCGCAATTATTTTTTGTTTTTTTAATGGTTTTTTATCCAATTCAAAATCAATCTTCACCCAGCTTAACATATATTTTTGGAAAATGATAAAAAGGTTTCGAATTAAAAATTTAATTATCATTCAAGTTTTTATTATTTATTGTAGTCAATTAAATTATTAAATAACTATTTTCATCAATTAAATCTTTCTTAGGCTAAAATTGATTAACCATCAATGCTCAATCACTCATTTCTTTTAAATCAAGGGTTCAGTTGGGGTAAAAATAAATATTTATGAGTTCAATTACCTAAAGATAGATACTTAAGACTTCAACTAATTCAAAATAAAAAATTTAAAACTTGATTGATTATAATAAAATATTAAAAGTTTAAATAATTATTGAATTTTTTAAATGAATTTTTTGACCTTGTTATCTATATTTTTAAACAAAATAACTTATGATTCTTGATTGAATCAATTCGATTTTCACACACAAAAAATAAAATAAAATAAAAAATAAAACAACAGAAGTATTATTTAACTAGAATAATGTCTTTGCTTTATAGGTTAATTTTTAAAAAGTATAATTGAATAATATTATAAAAAATAAAAATAATAAAAATAAAAATAATATTTTAAAGAATAAGTTTATTTAAGAAATTCTAATTGTTGTATTTTTTTTCTTTTGTTCTAAACATTTTCATAAATAATACTTATATTTCATGTGATTATGTAATTTATAATTTTTTAAAAGATATATAATGCCTACATCTATTATTAGAAGCAAATACGAAGCAAAATTCTTTTTCTTAATGAGAAACTTTTTTAAAAAACTTCGAAAATATTTATTTTACTTGAAATAATTAAATATAAAAATATAATAAAATTAGATTTTATCAAAATTTGATAGTTCTAATAACAAAATTACAAAACAAAATTATACATATTAAATGTAATTATTCATAAATGGCATAATTTATATATCAACTTTGTTCATATAAATATTTATAATTAATACACTATATTATTTTTTTCAAATATTTATATTTTAGTGTAAAACTTAACATTCATTGATGTTCATATAACAAAAACACATAAATTATTGTTATTCTTTAAATCCATAAAATGAAGGTTGTAAAGAATATAGAACTTTGGAGATGTCCGCGTCATCCCTTTTTTTTTGCTTTTAATATTTTTTTTTATTTGTTTATCACATTACACCATTCAATTTTTTTAAATAAGGCGTTTGGTTAAGGAAAATTATAAAAATTTTCCTCAAAATCTTAATTGTAGGTATTTGATCTTCATATTTAGTTCACAATTATCTAATTTATGGGGAAATTTTCAGATTTTTTATAGTATCTAAAATCCTAAAATTAGAAACACACATCTCCCTATGATATTTTAGAATTTTTTATGGAAAGTTGCTTGAGTTTCACATTTAACTTAAATAAAAAACTTATTCTATTTATGTTACCCTTTTGAAAAGAAAGTTTGGAATTGAAATTAAATTTTTTTAAATCAATTATGGCATTTCTTTAAATTAAACGTCGTACTTGCCTTTTTATAAATTTTTTTTATCTTACTATTATGCCATTTGCTAGGAAGAAACCTCGTAAAAAGAAAAACATTGTACTTTGTCTGAGAATATTGTTGTTTCATGTGGTTGAAAGTGCGTATAGAGGTGGTAACAGAGTTTTTCAGAAAACAAAATTTTCATATAAATGAAAGAAATGGTAGGGCCAACTACTTTTAGAAACTATTAGAGAGTTGTTGTTTGAATAAACCTAGGTGTTTAAATTTTTCTTAAATATATATATATATGTACCCAAAAAGCATGGAAAGTGGGAGAGAATCTAGAAATTGAGAAAACAAAAATTTATTAAAAAAAAGTAATTATGGCATTTAATTCAAAGAAACACTATAATTAAATTAAGTAAAATTTTAAAATAATCAATTACAGCATTTAATTAAAAGAAACATTGTAATTAAGTATTTTAAATTTTCAAATGAATTCCATTACAATGTTTTTTTTAATTAAGCGCTGTAATTGCCTATATTATCTTTTAAAATTTTACCTTAATTACTGCATTTTTGTATATAAACATTGTAATTGGTACAATTTCAAATTTATAAAATTATATAAAATCTTTTGTTCACTTCAGTACAAAAGCATCATTTGTAGTGTTTATTTTTTTAACGAAATGAAAGGTTTTTCCAAGGTTGTCAAGGATATTATGATAAAAATACATGATTTAATAAATGAAAATTCTCTCCAACCAAACATAAAAATTTCAAAATAAGATGCCCTGAAAATCAAACTTTCCCTCAAATAAATCTAGCAATCTAAAATACGATACAGTGACACGACACAAATATAATACGAAAATAAGACACGAAGGTGACACGACTTAAAATTGTAACAATAATTATATATGGGTTTAACAAAACAAAAAAAATTGTATTTTATAATTTCGTGTTGACATAAATTAGGACACGTAATTTTCACATAAAACAAGATACGAATATATGAATTTTAGTATTTTACACGACACGAATATACAAATCGCTAGGTCTATCCTTGAGTATCACACTTTTTCCTAGATTCTAAAATTCCATGAACCAAACACCCATTACATCTTTAATCAATTTTTCCCTCTCTTATCCCACATTAAGTATTTTTTTCTCATGCAACAAATTCTTCAAATTGATAGAAATATAGAATAACATAGGGCAAGTGAGAACAGTTCATAAGAGACAAACTTTCAATTTCAGCATTTTCACCTAGTTGAACTTTTCTCTTTTCTCATATTTCTTTATCTTTTTCTTCTTTAATGCAATTATTAAATCCTTAAAAAAATTTTGGGTTCATTTTGCCTTTCTTTACCACTATCTAAACTCTTCACTCTCTCACTTTCTATCCAAAAGAAACTAACAATCTCCTCTCCTTCGATTTTCCATTGTCGATCACTTTTTTTCTATCATTATTTGTTGATTTTCTTAATAGCAACTACAAGGCTATTTTTCTCTCTCATTTTATCACCCTTATTGTTGGAAATACTTAGTTAAATAAATGATGGTAAAAACCTTTTCCCTACATGAATTTGCCATTTTTCTTTTAATTTTTTTCTTTTTTTTTTTTTGCAGTAAGTTAAAGTTTATAATATCAAGTTCAATTACCAAAAAATGCAATAATTCTTTTCTATTTCTTAGTTCACATGGTTAGAGGAAAATCACAGTATGTTATCATCTTCAATTAATCTTTGTTTTTTTTTTACAATGGAATGCTAGATAATCTTGGTTCTTGTTTGTTATATAAGTAAAAATTTGCAAGTAAAAGAATTTCTATTCAAAATTATTTGAATTTTATAAATCCTATGTTAATGATTACAAAAATATGAAATCTAGATCTTTGGATTTGTAATTTTGAATTAAAAAAAACATTCTTAGTTCTTATTGTAATTGTTGTAGATAAACGACAACTATTTTTTTCTACATGGAATATTTTATAGCAATTTATTTTTTTAATATTTTTTTTGTTAACATGGTTAAGCTTGGAATTAATCCTAATTTGTGTTCTTGAATAACTTTTTTTAAATTCTTATTGAAATGGCATTATCTATGTGATGCAACAGAGTTACAGGTTTTTTCTTTTTATTATTTTCTTTGAATAACTTATTTGTTTTTTGTATCATGTGCTTTTAAATCTGAAAATATTTTAGATTGAAAATATCATGTTACTTAAAAATCCATTAACTTTGCGTGAAGTTTTGAGTATAATCAAAATACTTTCTAGTGATGTACATATTCATTACTAGTTATGATTTTTTAGGTAAGTTCTGCCTCTAATAATTTTTTTTACTTTACACTTGGTTAGGTTGTTAAAGTGCCTAATGTTAGTTAAAAAGATATTAAAGGCTTCGAGAATTTTAAAATGGAGCTTCAAGAGGTAGTACTATTTATTGCTTTGATTACTTCTTAATTTTTTTTATCTTTTTAAATTTCATTAAAAAATAGGATTAATTTGTTACTTGATATGCATACTGTTCAATATTAGTGAAAAATCTTGAAAAGTTTAAGATGTCACCTTTAAAAGGAGTATTATTTTATGGCCTTCCAAGATGTAGGATAGCTCTTTTGGCCAAAGCTATTACCAATGAATGCTAGGCAGACTTCATTAATTTAAAAGTGTCCAGAATTACTTATAATGTGGTTTAGTTAGAGTGAGGCCAATGTACATGAAATTTTTAACAAGGCTCACCAATTAATTAAATGGTAAAAATATGATTGAATTTTTAGAATATGGGTTCTCATTTGTTTGTTAATTTTTTCTTTCTTACAAATTTACTTTCATAACTATTTATAAAAATAATTAGTAATCAAATATTTTTCTTTTTTCTTGGTAAATCAAAGTTAGCTTTTTTTACTTTTAAAGTTATTTTTAGATTTACGTAGGTAATAGTATTTTATTTTATAGAATTATTTCATGATAGATAATTATTAGTTTTACACGTTCGTTAATTATAAAATCAATCATAATTATATGAATGTGCTCTGTCTTTTTTAATATTAGTTTTATATGGACTGATTTTATCATATTAACTAAAATTTATGAAGTACCTATGAGTTTTAAACCACATGTTCCTTGACTTATAAAATCAATCACAATTATTAGAGTGTACTTTGTTTTTTTGAATATGAATTTTATATGGACTGATTTTATCATATTAACTAAAATTTATGAAATAGCTATAAATTTCGAACCACTTAATGGCAGAATTACCAGGCAATAGTAATGGTGTTGATGTTGCAAGTCTTTCAAGAAAACATGTGATTTAAATGCTGAAA